ACAAAAGAACTATACAGAAGATTAATAAAATCAAAAGTTGGTTTTTCGAAAAGATGAACAAAATTGTCCTCTTCCTAGATTGACAAGAACTAGAAAAGGAAGGACTCTAATAACCTCAATAAGCAATGTAAAAGGAGAGTCACTACAGACATCATGGAAATAGAAAACATTATATTTGAATACTATGAAAATCTATATGTCTCCAAACTACAAAATGTGGAGGAAATGGACAAATTCTTAGAAACACACAACCCCCCTAGGCTCAATCAGGAAGAAATAGAATTCCTGAACAGATCAATATCAAGCACAGAAATTAAAACAGCAATTGAAAATCTTCCAAGAAAAAAAAGTCCTGGACAGATGAATTCACACTTGAATTTTACCAAACTTACAAAGAATAACTCATACCTTTAGTGCAGAAATTATTCCACAACACTGAGAAGGATACAATCCCCCCCAACTCATTCTACATAGCCAATATCACCTTGATACCAAAGCCAGGAAAGGACACAGCAAAAAAAAAGAAAACAACAGACCAACATCCCTCATGAATATAGATGCAAAAATCCTCAACAAAATTTTGGCAAATTGAGTCCAACAGCACATGAAAAAACTAATTCATCAAGACCAGGTGGGGTTTATCACAGAGATGCAAGTCTGGTTCAACATACACAAATCTATAAATTTAGTTCACCACATAAATAAAAGCAACAGACAAAGACCAAATGATTCTCTCATTAGATGCAGAAAAAGCATTTGACAAAATCTAGCACACTTTTATGATAAAAACTCTTAATAAAATAGGCATAGATGGGTAATACCTTAAAATTATTAAAGCCATATACAATAAACCCACAGCCAATATCATACTGAATGGGGAAAAATGGAAAGCATTCCCACTTAGAACTGGAACCAGACAAGGTTGCCTACTATCTCCACTTCTATTCAACATAGTGCTGGAAGTGCTTGCCATAGCAATCAGATTAGAGAGGAATTAAGGGTGTATAAATGGGTCAGAAGAAGTCAAACTTTCACTCTTTGCTGACGATATGATATTATATCTAGAAAATCCCAAGAATTAAACAAAGAGACTCCTGGAATTAATAAATGAATTCAGTAAAATCTCAGGATTCAAAAGCAATACACGCAAATGAGTGGCATTCATATATGCCAATAAGAGTCAAGCTGAAAATCAAATAAAAGATATAACACCTCTCACCATAATATCAAAGAAAATTAAATATTTAGGAATATATTTAATAAAGAAGGTAAGAGACTTATAAAGGGAGACCTATGAAAAACTGAGAAAAGAAATTGTAGAAGATGAAAACACATAGAAAACCCTACCATGCTCATGGGTTGGCAGAACCAATATTATAAAAATGTCCATACTACCTAATATGAGCTATGGAATTAATGCAATCCCTATCAAAATACCATCATCATTCTTTGCAGATCTAGAACAAATAACACTATGCTTCATATGGAACCAGAGAAGGCCTCATATAGCCAAAGCAATCTTAAGCAAAAATAGCACATTGGGAGGCATCAGTATACCAGACTTCAAGCTTTACTATAAGGCTACAGTAATCAAAACAGCATAGTATGACCACAAGAACAGAGATATAGACAATCCTCTTATAACCATTTAATTTTTGACAAAGCAGACAAAAATATACAATGGGGAAAAGAATCTCTTTTCAATAAATGGTGCTGGGAAAACTGGATAAACACATGCAGAAGATTGAAACTGGATCCTCATCTCTGACCTCTCACAAAAATCAACTCATGTTGGATAACAGACTTAAACTTAAGGTGTGAAACCTTAAGAATACTAGAAGAAAATGTTGGGAAAACTCTTATAGACATTGGCCTAGGCAAAGAATTTATGAAGAAGACCCCCAAAGCAATCACAACAGCAACAAAAGTAAATAAATGAGACCTGATCAAATTTAAAAAGCTTCTGCACAGCCAAGGAAACTATCATTAGAGATAATAGACAACCTACAGAATGGGAGAAAATATTTGCATGCTACACATCTGATAAAGGACTGATAACAAGAATCTATATAGAACTTAAGAAAATCAACAAGAAAAAGTCAAGCAACTCCATCAATAAATGGATAAAGGACATGAACAGACACTTTTCAAAAGAAGACAGACTTATGGCAGGCAAACATATAAAAACGGTGCTCAACATCTGTAATCATTAGGGAAATGCAAATCAAAACTACAATGTGATACTGCCCAACTCCACTGAGAATGGCCTTTATCAAAAAGTTCCAAAACGACAAATGTTGGCATGGATGTGGAGAGATAAGAACACTCTTACACTTCTGGTGGGACTGCAAATTAGTACAACTGCTGTGGAAAGTAATTTGGAGATACCTCACCATTTGATCCATCAATCCCACTACTAGGCATCTACCCAAAGAGGGGAAAAAGACATTCTGTAATAAAGGCATCTGCACTCGAATGTTTATGGCAGCACAATTCACAATTGCAAAGATGTGGAAACAATCCAAGTGGCCATCAATACATGAGTGGATTAATAAAATGTGGTATGTATATACCATGGACTTCTATTCAACTACAAAATACAATGGTGAACTAGCACCTCTTATATTATCATGGATAGAGCTGAAGCCCATCCTTCAAAGCAAAGTATCACAAGAATGGAAAAACAAGCACCACATGTACTCGCCATCAAATTACTACTAACTGACCAACACTAAGGTGCTCACATGGAAGTAATACTCATCGAGTGCCAGTCAGGTAGAAGCGGGATGGTGGTGGGTAAACTCACAATGAATGTGTGCGGAGCACACTGTATGGGGGAAGGGCATGCTTATAGCTCTGACTTGAGGGAAGCAAAGACATTATATGTAACTAAAATTTGTACCCCCATAATATTCTGAACTTAAAAAAAAAAAGAATGTATATGATGCCTACTCTGAAATCCATAAAATATGGGTGAGGGAAACTATAGAACTCTGAATCAACACTTTAAATGTATGATATAACATTAAGATGATGATTTCCTCAAAATTGACTATGGTTTAATGAAACCTCAAGCAAAATTACAAATAATTTATGTGACAATTTAAAGGATCAAATGTTTAAGGCAAATTTGAAGAAGAAAAACAAGGCCTTTAAAATACTTAAACTTCTAGATATCAAGACTTTTTATAAACCTGCAGTATTACAACAAAATTATATGAACATAAAGATAGATAAAATAGAGCAATAGAATATAATAAGAATTTAGTAAAAAATATATCTTTATCTACACAGTTGATTTATGACAAAGGATCAACTGCAGTTAAGTAGGGAAAGTGTGGTCTTTGCAAAAAATTTTTCCAGGTTGATAAAGTACTTAAATGGGGAAAATGCATCCTAATTTTTATTTCCCATATTTATGAAAATCAATTTCAAGAGGATTGTACTTCTAAATGTGAAAGGAAAATAATAACATAATAAAAATAATAGAAACCCTCTTCTACATGTCTCTGGAGTGCAGTGATTTTCTTAAACAGGATGCAAAATGTGACAATAGTGAGAAATAAAGTTATATTCCTTTAAAATTAAGAGATTCTATTGATTGAAAGATATCAAAGAAAGAGTAAATTTTTTTGACTCTGTTTTGGGAAGACAAAGGGCAAATTTAAACTTCATAAGATATTTGCAATAACTATAAAGTGAAAAAGACTCCCATCTAGAATATTATAGAACTCTTATGAATCAAACAGAAAAAGAGAACTAACTTGACAAAATACGGGCAAAATGTTTAAACATGTCTGTCACAAAGTATTTCACCTAAATAAACAGTAAATATGAAGATACTTAACAGTATTAACAATCAGAAGAATGTCAATGAAAGCCACAATAAGGTACCAATATTCACTCATCAGAATGGCAAAAATGAAAAAAGCCAACAATAAAATATTGACAAAGATGTGGAGCAACTGATATTCTCATACACTTCCTGTGGGATTATTTACTCTTTATGGGATTATATACTAAAGCTAATCTATATGTATTCTACAGCTTATAATTCTTCTCATAATTGTATCCTGAATTATATCCACTATCTATTAAAAGATTAAAAACATAAAGTATATTCTTGTATGAAGCCATATTATTTGCAATAGTCAAAATGTGGCATTCCAAATGTCCACCAAAAGTAAAAAAAATATTAATAAATGATGCTATATACATAGCATGGAATGCACTATACGAAAGGTCTGCAAACTACAGTCTGAGGCCAAAGTCAGCCCATCTCCTGTTTTTGTACAGCCACCAGCTAAGAATGATCTATACATTTTAAAATAATACAAGTAATCAAAACATTTAAAAGAATAATAATATTTTGTGAAACATGAAAATTATATAATATTTAAATTCCCATGTTAAATTTTATTAAAACACAGCCATGCTCATTTGTTTATGTATTTTAATCTGTGTTGGCACTACAAATACAGAATTGAATTGTGCGACAGAGATTGGCTAACAAAGCCTAAAATATTTACTATCTAGTCATTTATATAAACAATTTTCCAACAATTTTTTACAACAATGAATTAATGAACTTTTGCTGCATGTAATGACATGAAAAAAATCAAATAAGCATAATGTTGAACAAAATAGAAAAGATGCAATACTACATGAAAGTTACATGATTTTACTTATATAATTGTTTTTAAATGAGCAAAATTAACCTATGAAAATAGAAGTCAAAACAATGATTACCATTGGCAAGAAGTGTTGAATGGAATGTGAAACTATCAAGGTGAACATTTTTGCCTTAATCAATCGTGCCTTCATTACATGAATAAGTCATGTAATTAATAATAATTCATTCATTGGTACCCATTAAATGTATTATGAAAAATGGGAAGAGAATGAGTATAATGAGAAAAGATCATGATTGAGACAGGAAAAGGATCATAAAACAAAGCCATGGAAAAGAAAAAAATGAGAAAATAAAGGATGAAACTTACCTATTGTACTCACTGCTACATTGATTGTCAATATGAATAAAGTACATACAATATGCTTTTTATATCTGCACATAAGACCTGAAAATAAAAATAAATACACATTTAGGAGACTTCTAGTTTCAAACTGGTGGTGTAGAAGCAAGCTAGTTTCACTACCCTCTATAGAAAACAAACAAACAAATAAAAAAAATACCCACTGAGATTATCACCAGCAATAGCCCATAACTCAAATATGAGGATGATTCAGTTCCTGGAGTCACTAAGAAGTGAAAAATCTCTGACCTGATAATGAAAGAACTGGACCTCCATATCTATGATGCACCTCCCCTCAATCTGCCCCCTGACTAATAGTTTCTATACTGGAAGAAGTGAGATCAAGGTGGACAACCAGCTTCCCCACTATCTTGGGTTCTCTCACAGAAAACCTGCCCCTGCCTCAACCCACAGAAAGCATCAGGCATGCCTCAAGGAAGAAATATCCATGAGGACATCCAGAGACAAAAGGTGGAGGTGGGCTACTGTCACCAGGCCTGGAAACTCTGTTCTGTTACTTGGCCAAAAAACATCCAAATCAGGGTGACTGTTCAGCAGCACCACACAGGAGGAGGTTTGTTCCACAGGTCCTCTGGGAACAAACCACTAACCAGCATTGGCACACTACCAGGATAGTCCTTTGGGACCTCCCCATTTTGGGATGGGTGACACTCTAATTGTTTACTAGAACAGAGGCACACCTGTTGTAAAGCACCACATAGTCATGAAAAGGAGGCAGCAACCTAGAGGGGGGAAAAAGAAAATCAACAGGTAAATTACAAAGAGTATTTAGGCAAACATATCCAATATAAATCAAAACAACCAGATAGAGAAGAGTGGAAAAAATAGCTAATCCTTCAATACAAAGACATTGATGTATATTCACAAGCAACAGCAGCAAACAGGAAACCAGAACCTCCCTAAATGGACAATGCTAGAAACCAGTGATTGACCCTACTGAGACAGCCATATATGAGCTCTCTGGCCAAGAATTCATAATGGTAGTTTTAAGGAAATTCCATGTTCTCTAAGATAACAAAGAAAAAGCAATGCATAAATTTATCACAGAAGTTTAACAAAGATATTGAAATAATAAAAAAAATCCAGAAATCTTGAAACTGAGAATTACTTTGCTGAACTGAAAAATTCATTAGGGGCTCTTAGTAGCACAACGGATCAAGCCAATGAAAGAATCAGTAAGCTCAAAGATAGGATATTTGAAAATACACAGAGAAGAAACAAAGAATAAAAAGAAATATAAAATGCCTACATAAGACCACATCTTAGAATTAGTGGTGTTCAGGAGGGAATTGAGCAAGAGCAAGGGATAAAAAGATTATTAAAAAAAATAATAACAGAAAACTTTCCAAAATTTGAGAAAGAGATAAATATTCAGGTAGAGAAAGGTCAGAGAATACCAAACATATCCACCCCAAACAAGACTACTGCTAGGCATATAATAAACGAACTCTCAAATGTCAAGGACAAAGAGAGGATCCTAAAAGTACCAAGACAAAAGAAACGAATAACAGTTAAAGGAGCTGCAAGTCATCAAGCAAACACACTTCTTGATGTAAACCACATGGGCCAGGAGGAACTGCGATGACATTTCCAAAGTGCTGAAAGAAAATCAAAGGAAAAAAAAAAAAAGCTGTGACCTAAGAATACTGTAACCAGCAAATGTATCCTTCAAATATTAATCTTAAGGAAATATAAAGTCTTTCCCAAAGAAAAGCTGAAAGAATTCACCACCAGCAGGTATTTCCTACAAAATATACTAAAGAGAGTTCTTCAACCTGAAAGAGAAAACACTAACATGCAAAAAAAGAAAAGAAAAAACAGTTCAAGTTATAAAGCCCACTGGTAAAATTAAGTACATGGACAAACCAAGAATATTCTATTAATAATACTGTAATCATGGTATGCAATCCACTCATAACTCTACTATGAAACCTAAAACACAAATCTATCAAAAACAATGATAGCTACAACAGCCTGTTAAGGGATAAGCAACCTGAACCTATGTGTGGCTCTTTAGGGTGGAATTTCTTGGCCCTGTAGCTACCTCCCGGCTTTGGCTTCCTTCCTTTGGGGAAACACTAGCATATTCTAACACTAAATATTTCTAAGAAAATCTACTTTTTAAAATGTATAGTTTCATAGATTTAGGGATACAGGTGGTTTTTGGTTGCATGGATGAATTGTATAGCAGTGATATCTGAGTTTTTAGAATATCTGTTACCTGAATGGTGTACATAGCCCCAAATAAGTAGTTTTTTCTTCAAGTTTATTTTAAAGGAGAGATAGCCAAGCATAGTCAAAAGGTCATAGGTCTTAGAACAATCAATCAGAGGATTTGTATTTGAGATTTTTGCCACAAACATGCAAAAGGAATTTGGGTAAGTCATTTTTTTTCCTGATCTTATATTTCCTCATCTGCAAAGGAAGTAGAACAAAGTAAATATCTGGTGAAGAATTGTTGTTCTCTTATTAGTATCCACTCAGGAGGAAATAAAAATAGAAGACATAATATTTTGAGATGATTGTTTTATTAATTTATGTGATTTAAAAATATTCATCTTCATTATAAAATTTTATAATATTTAAAAAATCATAGAATTTACTATAAGATGTACTAATACTTTTTGAGATTATTGAGCATTTCTATCTTTTTCACCTAGTGAAAAACTAATTATCCTTATGAAGAGTAAACTTTGTCAATATGTGAAAATTTAAGTTTATACTACTAAAGATAACTAGCATTATCATTTGGGTTAACATCCTTCTATCTGTATATCTCTCTAATTTTATTTTCACACATATAACCATCATCTTAAATACACATAATTTTAAGTGATTACTACAATCATAATGCACCTATTATTTCATATGCTAATGTTTTCAATTAGCAATTTGCTCTTTTTGATGTGTGGTAGATTGTTAAAAATGACTTCCAATTAATCATATCTCCTTGTGTCCACCACCCATTTGACACATGACCTTGCTACTCCTCCCATCAAGAGGAATACTGTATTTCCAACACTTGAATATGAATTGGCCTTGTGCCTTGATTTGACCAATATAATACGGTAGAAGACACACTCTGGACCATTGAGGCCTTGTAGTTTCTATCTTCATTCTCAGCATCCCAGCCACCATCTAAAGAAGCCCAATCCTCGTTAGTATAGTGGTGAAAAAAAAAAAAATAATAAAAAAAAAAAAAATAAAGAAGCCCAGCCTCTCCTGCTTAGGAAGAGGAAGGAAACTGGGGGATGGGGAGGGTGGGGAGAGAGAGAGAGAGCAAGAAAGAGAATGTTTGTGGAGGATAACCAGCTGACATCCAGCCACTGACTCTGCCATTTTGAATTCTCAGTCTCTGCCCAAATACCCCAGTTGCCATTGCATAGAGGCTTATTTATATAAGCCATTCCCACAGACCCTTATGCATATTTCTAACCCACAGAATCTCAAACAAGATAATGATTTTTGTTTTAAGCAACTAAATTAGGGCATGGTTGCTCATTTGGAGCAATAGAAAAATTTATACATCATATGAAATTATAATTGACATCATAATTATAATGGCTATTATATGACTATATCATTAAAGAAATAAACTAATCCTCTTCTGATATTTAGGCCATTCTATCCCTTTTTAAACCAGAACTGGAATAAATATAATGTAAATGTGTCTTGTATACTTGTCTAATTATCTTCTTAAGATAAATTTTTATAAATAAATAAAATTGGCATATATTGGTTGAATGTTCTTCTGAAAGTATTGTACTAATTTGAAATATTATGGACAAGGCATGAAAATAATAGTACCCATAAACATTCATAGAAAGTAATTTTTGTAAAGTAGCATAAAGAGTGAGAATGAGTACAACACAGAATATCAGCACTGTTTTTGAGCCATCAAATTCAACTGTCTAATATTATGGAGTCATGTCTAACTTTGTATAGTTCTGCCAAATATTAAAGTTTTATTATTAGCTGTACATTTCTTCTGATTTTCTGGAATTTCAAAGCTACACAGCAAGCAAGAACTGCAGTATTTGCAATACTTTACTTTTGAACCAGTGCTGTGTTTATTTAATTGTTCATCTTCCAACAAATATTTATTAATCAACTAAAATGTACTTGTTTTCCAGAAATACAGTAGTAAACAAACAAGACAGAGTTCATGCCCTCCAGAAACTTACATTTGATGAGAAAGACTGATACTAATACAAATGAGCCCAAAATTACAGATTTTAACAAGCACCAGAAATACAATAAGCAAGATGCTCTGTATGATAAGAGGAAACAGCCTCAAAATGATAGTCACGAGAGCCACTCTGTGAAAATGACATTAAAACCAATTGAAATATGAGCAGTGACCCTCTATGCCAAATAAACACTAGAAAACACTGCAAGCAAAGAGGACAGTGAGTGCAAGTGTCTGAATCAAGAAAAAACTTAAAAGAATGTGGCAGAATACAAGTGGATTTAGTTAGAATGGATCCAGAATGGATCCAAGATAGTGAGGAGAATGGTGACTAGCTAGACAGGAGCAAAACTATGCTGAGTTTTGAAGACTTTGGAAGGAAATCAAATTTCTTCTAAGGGAAGCCACTGAAATATTTTATGTAGGTGTCTGGTATTTCTACCTTTATGTCTTCAAAAGGTCTGTAGAGTACAGGGTGGAGAGACTATTTAGAAGATATGACTCTACCACATTGAATGATGGTGATGGTTTTAACAAGACCAGTAGCAGTGGTTACAGAAAGAATTAAATCGAGCACATAAACATTATTGGTTTCCTTGATAGAGTGTTTTTGGGGAGTCACAGCGAAGGAAGTCAGATTGCTTGGGAGTAGGGAAGTGAAATCAACAGGTAGACTCTTACAAAACTTGTGCTGTGTGAAGGAAGAGCAAGCAAAAGTTGGAATGAGATGAATACTTATGATAGAAAGTTTTAAAAACATGTTTGTATGATGATAGGAGTGATTCATTGTGATAGGGAAAAATTAGCAATGCAGGTAATAGAGGGAGATAATTAATTAAATAAAAAATAATAGTTCTTGCACAGGCTAGAAGGGTCTGAATCACTAGTGGAGGTATTGCTCTTAAGTAGGAGAATTTTCCCTATCTCCAGTGCAGCAAAGATCAAGAAGGAGAAGAAGCAACATACATATTACTGTCATCCTTTTTGGTATTATATATGCCTCAGTTCAGAACTTGAGTCTGAGCTCTTTCCAATGAGGTTTTTTATCACCTTTCAAATATAATCTTATTAATTTTTAATTATATATTAATCTGTCTATTAATTTTTGTCAAGAAGACAAGAACTTGTTTCCCCTTTTCTATACCACAAATGAAATCAATTTGTCAGTGTGATCTTCCATGTTTTATGTCCATGAATTGGTGCAGTGTAAAAAGGGAATATTAGGAGTAGAGATACCATGGTTTCAAAATCTTGGTCAAATATTTGTAGTGTGTAATTTTATTTTCTTACCCCATTTGATCTTATATCTCTTTATCCATTAAATAGCACAATCTCTATTTTTTTTAAATTAAAGAGCACAGGTATATTATGGTTTTAGAAAGCATGGCATATAATGGGAATTAAATAAAAGGTAGCTTTTGCTATTATTTTTTTGTGTGTTATAGCTGTCCTGTTTTTCAATATTTTAAATATTATGTATGTGTGTTTGAGTGTGTATGTGTGTGTGTAGAAGGTAAAGATTATTTTCAGATGCAGCGAGTGGAAATATTTTTTGGTATATGTTCATATCCATTATTTTAAGTAGATAGTAGGCCATTTTGATATCCTTTTCTTCATCATTATTGTTGAAAAGAAAACTCAAAGCTATTTGAAATCAACTGCCTTTTCATTTTTTAAAAAAAAAAAATCTTAGCTTTTTGAAGTGATGTTTCTGAGAATTGTGAAGTGATTTTTTAAGCAGGAAATACTCTGAGCTAACAGGAAGAACAAAGGGTGTGCACATCCTGACAATATAAGAAATGATCATTTTCACACACTGGCTGTAATAAGAGCCCTTTCCATGGCAAAGCTGGCAAGATGTCAGAGCATAGACTTTATGGGGCCCATAGAAATGCTACATCCTAAGTGCTGATGACCCCAGCTTCAGCGAAGATGCATGAACTTCAAATGAGACAAAGGAACAACATGGCTTCTGTTGTAAATGTGGCACAGAAATAGCAGAGCTAGAACTAAAAAGATAATTCAAATTGGAGCCTCCTCTTCTCAGAAGTAATCAGTGAAAACATGACTAAAAGTCATCTTGATGCTTTGATGTCTCACACAAACCTGGGAAACTTCATATAACCTTGGAAGAAACCTCCCACTCTTACCACCACCAAATGACAAAAGGTAAATAACCTGTTCACTCAGGAAGATGGGACCCTGGAGTGGCATTTTGCTTCATTTAAAGAGCTAATGTATTGAACATTTCCTATACTGCTTAAAATGTGAGTACAAATTTATCCCTGCTATATGTTCATTCTCTATTTCCTGAGCCCTAAAGTTTCATTTTCTATGCTTAGTATAAGTTGCTTTTATTTCCCTTCTTTTTATTCTTTCCCTTCTTTCTATTCTTTTACTCAATCTTCAACACCTATCTAGAAGGCTATAACTATTTATATGAGTTACCTAAAACATAAAAAATGAGTGGCATTGGTGGAATAGCGATGAGCATAGCTGCCTTCCAAAACAAACAAAAAATGGTGGCTTCCTATTATGGAACTGATATTTAAAGGTGAATTTCAAAGTTGCTGAGCCTTCCTGAGTAACATGGTTGAAGAAGCTATGTGAAACTCCCCAGGGAAACTCAATAACAACCTATTAACAATGTAACTAACACAGTTCTCTCTTCAAACCTAGTTAATCTAAACAGCTAAGGACTACAACCATTTTCCCCCTAGAGAAGCTTCCCTGAGGGAACTAACCATTTTTGGTGTTTCTGATTCTGATCTCCAAGGAGAGATAAGAGGAAAGATTCAGGGTTCCCAGTGAATGTAAAATGAAGCAAAATATTCTTTTTCCTATCTCACAGCTATAGGAAAAAAAATCATAAAATACTTATAAGCATAGAGAACAAAATAGAATATAAAAAATAAATTGTAGATAAAAAGTATGCAAATTATATCACTAAATTACTATTAAAATGGTGCTCATAATTTCAGATTACATACATGTATACATAATATACACAATATTATGCATAATATATATTATTCAGTAACTTTTAAAACATACTCATATGTAATATAATATGTAATGTACTGTTATACATAATATTTGCATACATAAATATATCAATTCATACTGTTGATCAATATGTGAGGTAGAAAATAACACTGGTTTTGCTAGTCGCTAGAAAACATTCTTAAAACTTTTGGTTAAGGCTATATTTTTATGTGATCATCAAATAATTGATCTCATTTCTCCCAACTCTCTTTTTTTCTAAGGCAGAATTATCAATTTGGCTAAAGCAAGTGGACTGCAGGGGTGGAAATAACTATGTGTCCTATTGCACTACAACAATAATTTTTTGACAAAAATATTTTCTGTCTCTTTAAAACATCCTTCACTCTTTTTGGGGACTGAAACCTTCATCCCTTCAACACTGTCTCAGGCCACTGATGAGGAAGGGTAGGATATCGTCTTTTGTGACTCAGCCCAGGAAGGCAGAGGTCCTAGAGGCCTGGGTGGGCCTCCCAGGTGGGCAGAGGCCACGGGATTGTTTTAGGCAGAGATGGGACAGAAATGGGGCCATTAGAATCATCAACTGTAATTGAACAATTGCCTGAAGCTGAGAACCCACCCTTTATGAGCTCTGTATTTCTGCTTGGCATTATAGACAAGGGTCTCCATCCTCCTTATTTGCCAGCAAATTAATAAATCTCTCTTTCTCCAACCACTTATCCTCATTCTTCTGATGCAGCCTCAAGGATGAGTGCTTGTAAAGCCTCAGGCTAAGTGCTTTCTTTTAGCTTATGTATATTGCTTGTTTTCAAGAAGTTGGGTTGAGCGGGCTGATCACAGTAAATTTTGGGATAAAACAAAAGGGCAAGCGCATAGGCACAAGGGGCCAACCAATCAATGTAAAGGTCAAGTGCGTGGGCACAAGGGGCCAACCAATCAACGTAAAGGTCAAGCGCGTGGACAGGTTATGCACCTGGGGTATAAAGGGCTCCGTCCCACAGTGCGCCGGGTCTTTGTCCCAATAGAGGCCGCCATATCGGTGCTCTGGGACTTGGACCCTAGCTCGAGCTAGTCAGTAAAACTCCTTTTGATGATTTCAGCCTCAGTGACCCTGCCTCTTTATTCTGTGGTACTACGGTTTCCTGCTCTAACATCCTGAGCTTTCAGTAACAGTAGCATACGTTGGTAGGTCGAATTAAAATTAAGTGGGAAATATTTAAAGCTCACCATAGTCCCTAAAACGTAGATCGTTGTATTTAACGCATCTTAGTTTCATCCCCTCCCCCTTCACCACATTTTTACTATAAATGGGCCCTGTTAAAATGACAAAGATTTTCTCCTCAGGTTTAGAGTTTGGACCTTACATACTCTGAACTTAAGTATTTAAAAATCTAATATTATCAAGCTGTTTTATAAATGTTCTTTTCTAAAGTACGTTCTCATTCCTTATCCTCCTTAGGTTTGGTAAAGACATCTCCAAGGGTATGAGATTACTGGCAATTATTTAGTAAGAGTGGGAAAGGTAGATGCTCTTACTGTTAAATACTTCTAAAACCCAGTATATGTTGACTCCACTCAATAAAGCAATCTTTTAAAATGTTAGAAACAGTGGCTAAGTTTTTTATATTATGTATGCATTCTGAACATTGCCAAAGTATCCGGGTCATGTTTAACCTCTTCTCTAGTATTTGTTTCATGAAACACTTAGTGAAAATGATACTAAATTTTGAGCACTTTTAAATCATGTTTAATACTTCTCCATTATTAATTAACTTAAAAGCATATCGGAATTTATTAGGACAACAGTCCATTACAAATCTTAATTTTCTTGCTACAAAGAAGGAATTTTCTAGTTTGACAAAAGAAATCATAAAACTCAATTCTTTCTTTTAAAAGCTCTTTTTAACTTTATGAGTCATAATTTGGATAAATAACTTTCATTCTGAACAATCGAAAATGTCCTTACCTTGCTTCTTTTTATCAGTCCCCGGGCTGTTGTTCTCAATTTTCGTCACCCCTTTAGCCAGCGTTTTCATCTGGATGCTTTGTGTCATATCTTCCAGAACCTCTTTTCAAAGTTGTAACTTTGTTTAACTTTAATATTAAAATGTTATTGTTGTTTTTACAGCATACCTCCAAACTAGAGGTAAGCTGCCTTTGAAGAGTGATTCAAAATTTACTCAGCTTTTGTTTCATCATTTCCCAAACATTCGGTGACTCTTTAAAACCACGTGGGTAGTAGGAAGTCATGTAAACCACAATATTCTTCTTGTGAACAAAAAGATGTTTGTCAGGGAGGGATGAAGCTTAGTAAAATAAAAATTAAAAGGTAACTAAGAACATAGACACATTTTCTTACTTTCTCAACAGGAATACTTTTCTAAACCACATAACACAAAATTATTCAAGTGGCTATTTTTCCAATTCTCCCAAGAGTGGCACAGAGCTAGTATCCTTCAAGAGCCATAGGAGAGACAGATACTAATTAATTATCACAAAATGCATGCTTTAGGGTATTATTGCTTAATTATCTTGTGTTAAGAAAGACCACCTTAAAAGTAATGAAATCAAAGAAAAACTTTAAACTTTAACCCTTGCTTTAAACCTGGGCTACTGAAAGAACAAAAGCTATTTCCTGTCTCTCACTCTCTCTCTAAGATAAGCACAAGTGCCCAGGCACATGCATACACACACACACACACACACACACACACACACACACACACAGACACACACACACACTTATGTTACCGAAAGCTCAGCACTTGTCCTTGAGGCCACATGAAAAGAATAAGAATAAATGGTTTGAGGCCGGGCGCGGTGGCTCACGCCTGTAATCCTACCACTTTGGGAGGCCGAGGCGGGGGGATTGCTCAAGGTCAGGAGTTCGAAACCAGCCTGAGCGAGACCCTGTCTCTACCAAAAATAGAAATAAATTAATTGACCAACTAAAAAATATATATATACAAAAAATTAGCCGGGCATGGTGGTGCATGCCTGTAGTCCCAGCTACTCAGGAGGCTGAGGCAGTAGGATTGCTGAGCCCCAGAGATTGAGGTTGCTGTGAGCTAGGCTGATGCCACGGCACTCACTCTAGCCTGAGCAACAAAGTGAGACTCTGTCTCAAAAAAAAAAAAAAAAAAGGAATAAATGGTTTGAGGAGATGGAAAGAGAAGTTTATTACTTTGCAGCAAAGGAGGAAAAATGGCAGACTTTGTCATTTCAAAATCCAATTTTTCCTGAATATAAGCAGAAATGCAGAGTTTTTAAAGGGATGACCCTCAGTTCTAGGCTACTCTGTTAGTTATTCTAATAACTAATTATTAGAATAATAATTATGGTTACTAATTATTAGTCACTTTTTATAAAGTGACTTCTCTTACTTGGGTAGATATCTAGTAGTGGGACTGCTGAATTGAATGGTAGGTCTACTTTTAGTTCTTTGAGAAATCTCCATATTGTTTTCCATAGAGGTTGTACTAGTTTACATTCCCACCAAGAGTGTATAAGCATTCCCTTTTCATCACATCCATGCCAACATTCATTGTTTTATTTATTTTTTAATATTGTCATTTTGACTGGGGTAAGGTGATATCTCATTGTGGTTTTAATTTGAATTTCCCTGGTGATTAGTGATGTTGAGTATTTTTTCACATGTTTTTTGGCCACTTATCTATCATTTTTTGAAAGAAATCTGTTTATGTCTTTTGTTCACTCTTGGATGGGGTTATCAGTATTTTCCAATGATTTTATATCCCATCTCCATAAATATATTAGGGAGGAAACTGAGGATAAGAAGCTGATGTCCCCCAAGCAGCTCCAGAATTGCCAACACATTGGTTCTGAGAGAGAAGCTATAAAAGAGGAAGTGGCCTGAAAAAAACCCCAAAAAACAGCAAAAATATTTACTGTCTCTTTAAAATTTCCCCCACTCTCTTTGGGAACTGTAGCCTGGCCTGCATCCCTGCCTCAGACAGGTGGTTGGGAGGGGCAGGGGAATGTCTTTTGTTCTTTGTATTACAGGAGATAGTTCAGCAGTCCCAGTCCCTGGCACCAGCCTCCCAGGTAGGCAGAAGTCACAGGCTTTGTCTTTGGCAGAGATGGGACAATTAGAATCGTTAATGACAGCCTGAAACTGAGGCTCATCCTTTAAAAGCTCTATATTTCTGCTTATTGATAGGAAATTTGGATTTTGAGATGACAGTCTACCATTTTCCCTCCTTTGCAGGCAAAGTAATAAACTTCTTTTTCCTTCTCCTCAAACCATTTGTTCTCGTTCTTCTGATGAGGTCTTGAGGACAAGTGCTGAGCTTTTGGTAACAAAGCTGTGAGGGGGAAAAGAAATGAGAATAGAGAAGAAAGTGTAGTATAAAGAAATGAAAAAAAAGAAAATGTGAAGAGAATAAGATACAAGATTAAACACATCTGAGTGACCTCAAACATATAACTCTGGTCACTTTTTGAATAAGGAAATTATGCAAGGTAAAATATAGAAGGAAAGGACAGATGATAAAATTGTTCTTTCCATTTTGGAACAGAAAAAAGAAAGTTTGTGGAAAAATAAATATATTCTACTTTTTTTTTAAACAAGAGATGCTATCCAAACACTATTAGAAATGCATGTATAGAAAAATATGGAGATCATACAATCATGGTTGAGTGATATCTAGTTTTGTTTCTAAAAGAAAAACAGTCAAAATATAAAAATGGACTCAGAATATAAAACATTTCATCACCTCAAAATATTCCTGATGTCGCTTTGCAATTCATCCTCCTGCCCCTGTAACCAGGCAGTCTTTGACTTACTGTCAATAAAGTTGAGTTTTGCTAGTTTTCGAATTCTGTATAAATAGACATACAGAGTTTTCATTCTTAGGAGTTTACTGTCTTTCACTCAGTATAATATTTTTGAGTTTCATCCATGTTGTTGCATAGATCAATAGTTTATTTTTATTACTGAGCAGTATTTCACTATATAGATATATAACAATTTGTTTATCCATTACTCCATTGGATTTTTTTTCCCATTTTTTGGCTATTGTAAGTAAGGTCAACATAAGCATTTGTGCAAAAGTCTTTCTGCGGACACATATTTTCTAATCTCTTGAAGAAATATCAGGAAGTGGATATTTCCACTAGGTTATATAGAAAATATGTGTTTTATTTTATAAACATAACAAGTTTTCAAAAAAGGTTGTGCCATTCCCATCATTAATGCAGGAGGGTTCCATTTGCTCCACATCAATAGCAATATTTGATATGGCTAGTCTTCTTAATTTTAACCATTTTAGTAGGCATGAAGTGAAATATAAATGTAGTTTTAATTTGCACATCTCTAATGTGATGTTGAGCATTTTATCATGTGCTTATTTGTAATTCATTTTTTTGTGACCTCTCTGTAAAAATATTTTGCCTATTGGGGGGGGGGTTCAATTCACATAGAGAGAGACACACATAGATACACATAGATATGTATATATAAATAAATAAAATGGGTTATAAAATAGTATATAAATAATATGGAAAAATTCCATTATCAGATACATATGTCACAAATACTTTCCACTATTTGTATGTAGCCTTTCAGAAAATCTTAAAAGTCTTAAAAAATCTAGAACCTTCTAAATATTGAACCTTCTAACCCTGAGAAAGCTATGTACTCTCCCCTGCTAAGGTCTAGCCCTTTTCCTTACCTAAAGAAAATTTTGAGTGCTATGCCATGAAAGAAACTACACACCTTCCTTATAATCCTCTCTTCCTTCCCTTCCTGGCCATAAGGCCAATAACGAAGAATAAGTGCTAATCCTTATAAGGGGCAAAAAGGACTATGCTCAGAATGAATTTGGACTTAACCTATATGTAATGACAACCTGGAGTGTGCATAGTGGGGTGGGATTCTGGGGGGGCCAGATCAAGAGAGAAACATAAAGCTGGATAAGGGGTATTGTATCAAGTTTGGGGCACTCTGTTGAAATATAGAATTTCACGACTTGGCAAAGTGCTGTGAAACGGAGCAGATACTGCTGAGATAACTCCAAGAAGAATGAAGAAAGCAATGGCTCATTCCAAGCAGAGTAAAATGTCAGAATCACTGTGGCGAGTAGTTAAAGAAAATATAAAATGACTTAGAGAAGTTGCATGCTATAGTGGATATACTACATGAGGACAGAAAATTCACCAACTATGTTCCATGGGATGGTATAATAGGCACTTTATTTGCCAACACAATAAGCAACACACTGGTGAAAGAACATGAGTCCTTCACAAGCCTCACTGAGGAGCGCAGCATGGCTTGCTTCTGTAGGCCAAGGATTACAGTAGGAAATTCTCACACAGGGTTGGATTTACTGAGACATTTGGGAATGATGGGATTTGGAGTAGGAGAGACCAAGAGTCAGAGCTCCACTGGTAAACAAGGTGGACACAATTACGGTAATGAGTGTTGAATCTGTAATAGCAGCCAGGATTACTGACACACAGAAAGCTTTCTATAGCTCTGATATTTCTATATATCAAATAGAGCCCAGTGTTCCCAGAGGGAATATAGCTAGATAATTAAAACGGGTGTGTCCATTTCCGTGCTGGTCTTTTAACAAATGGTGGCACAGAAGAGAAGAAAAAAAAAAAAACCTCAACAAGCTCTGGTTTGTTATATTTGCTGATTTCTGTGGTATAATTATTCCCACAGTGGCTGATTTCAAGCTACCATAACCAAACACAGAGTTGGGAAGAGATGTGCGATACTACACCATTACATATTATTTCAACTATATAGATGTCAATAGCTTCATGCATACATAATAGTAAAATGTACTAGAAATCATCAGAAATTGATGAGTTATAAGTATCTTACCTTTGCTTTTAATATTAATTTAATTTTAAATTTAGATAATACAATTTTTGATAGTGCCTATGTTTAACACTTAGCTTACAAAATCCTAAAACTTTAACAGGCAGCTATTGCAACTATACCACTGGTTTTGTTCCACATCTACAACAGAAAAACCAAAGATGGATAGTAGGCTAAGGGCAACCACACCCCCAAATCTTATAAACTATTACCTCAATCTGGTTTAGCCTGAGCCAGTTTTCTGACAGAGGACTCATTAAAGAAGAACACAAGTCTTCAGAAAGAAGACCTCTTCGATACCAACACTACAGTAAATATTAATTATTCCTTTGGGCTATCCCCAAAGGGACTTGTATTGGTATTTTAAAAATAAGGGGACACAAAATCTGGTTGGCCTTGTCAGGTACTGGAGGAGCATTGCCATACCTGAGAACTGGGTTCTGACACATGCATTCGGTGATGCAAAAGGCTGCTGGGCTCCCAGAGCAAGAAAGGGCTCTTCAGCAAGTCTAGCTGCAGTTGGAATCATCCCTGCCACTTAAGCCACACAATTTATGAGCCACTATGACACCAGAGTCTCAATAGTGACAAACAATTTTGTGGGATTTATGGCTAAGCCCTGACAGCTGACACACAATGCCAACTAGTCCTTTGAGTTCTGCAGCAAGGCCAGAGCAATTACAGGTGAGCATTATAGAACTTTTGTTAAACAGCTCCTGGTATCCTACGGGACATAAAAGAAATAGATCACCTGACACTGCCTTCCATGAAGTAAGTCCTGTGAGACTCACCAAATATAAGTTCAGGTGGTCTCAGTAGCAATTCATCATAAGATGACATTGATAGACCCAGAGTCAGCACAAGCAGAGTCTGAGTCGAAAGACAAGCTGAAGTTCCCTACGCCAAGTGGAGGGCAGGCACAGACAAGATTCAGACCCTGTGTTTTCTAACTTTGCTCCACTGGTACCTCTTCCTGGGCTCATGCCTGCAGCTGTTTGAGGTATCTCTTATGACCTGCTGATGGAGTAGGAATAAAGTTGAGTTGATTCTTAGAAGGGTCTGTTTGGGTTGTATGTGTCCGCTCCAAACGGACTATGGTTATACTATAGTGCCACTAACTGAGCTTCACGAGGCAACAAAAGTAGTCTACATTTACAAGATATATAAACACCTGGGCAGTGACTAATATGTGTCTCTACTAGTATGGAAGCTCTATGAAACCATGAATTCAGAGATTTTTTTATTTATTTGTTTTCAGTGATCTATCTTGAGTATGTAGCACAGTGCCTGGAGCAAAATATATACCCAAAAAGTCTTATTGAATGAATTAACACATTAATAAACACAATGGTGAAGTAATCATTAAGACATTAATAACAAAAAATGAACAAAGGCATGAATAGTTAACCCATAAAACAAAAGGCATATAGTCAACGTATGCACAGTTGTCTAAACACAATGAAAATTCAAGAAATGTAAAATGCAATAATACAATAGCCTATCAGATTAAAAATGTGGCTATAAGAGTAGCATGATAATTTTGTATGGCTGTGGGAAACCTTCAATTTCAATAGAAATGTACAGCTTGTAACATTTCTGGAGAGAATAAACACTTCTTTTTGTTAAGTAATTCATCCGCGAGGTTATAAATTTTACAAAAGGTATACATTTCCTATAACTATTCTGTTATTTTCTTTGTCACCAAATCGATTTAGTATCTCAACCTTTAAAATGACCCTGTCTTTTCTCTTGCATGGGCCAACCAGGGGAGAGGGCAAAAGTAGACCAAATGCTGTGAAGAATGTAGGATTGCCAAGACAGAGGTTGGCCACAGTGATGGCTCTGAAAATGTGCAGTAATAAACTGATAGGGAAACGTACTGGGGATTGTGCTGACAGAACTCCATGACTAAATGAGTAAAAATTATAAATCTAGAGTTTGATGTCTCTATTATGAAATATGTTTCATAATGTGTATTATGAAACATATTTTAGACGTCTTCAGATTGAGATACTCTGAAATATCTCAGCATTCAATCCCACCAAATCATCTTGCCATCAGACTCATAGTGAGAAAATTAGCCCAGAGACAGTAAAGGAAAAAGAAACAAAGTTTCGGAAGCTACTCGAAGGTGCTTGTGTGGAGCTGAGGGCTGGGGAGCCCAGGATGTGGGTGGGGGAGCAGCTTCAAGCTTCACCAACTTTTGCAAGGTGAGGGGGCTGGGTAGACGTGGGGCCCTTTAAAACTCACCTTCCCCTCCTCTCCACACCCTTTCCTTAGCCTTTTCCTACCTCTATTAAGGCCAATTTTGTTAGTTAAATATTTTGGAACGTATGAGGGGTGGAGAATGCATTAGTGAGAGCGATGCATTGGTGATGGCCTGTTTGTGGCCACTGTTCTCTGTAGATCAGAGGTGGAGTGGGATAAACCACAGTGGAATTGGGGTTTCTGATATTACTGGTAACAAATCTGGTTCTAAAGGTCAAGAGGTTGCAAGTGCCTCAATAAGCAAGAGGAACTGATTGGTAATCAGAGTTTTCATCACAGCAATCTATGACGATGATGAGTTGATTTTGGAGATTTTGGAAATTAAAACATAAAAAGGAAAAACAAAAAAAGAAAGGCTATCCTACTAAGGAACTGCTTGATATGCTAAGGAAAATTCTGGGAGTGTTGACCAGAAGCTTAACTGATGTTTTGAGAGAGGAGATTCACTGTGTCTTATCCAGTTCCCAGACTTCAATGTAGTTACTAGACAAAGCTCTTCCCATGCAAGGAACCCCTCCATTGGGTGGAAGATAAGCTGGATCCCTATGGGGTGGGGCTATAACATGGTCACAGGTGTAATTATGATATTTATTCCCCAAATATTATTTCCCTGGATGACTGTATACTGGGGAAAAGCTCAGAACCTATGGTGATTCCCAGATTGTGTTTACAAACATAAATAACAAATATTTCTTTGCCATCTTGCACAGGTACATGCCAACTCTCCTAATCTCTGTCATAAGGTGGCCCAGAAGGAGCTAGATTATCCTGGTACAGATCCAAACATGACCTACCTCAGAATTGACTGCATAGACTAGACTCATTACGTTGATGCCACCATGCTAACTGTACCTGATAAAGAGGAAACAGTAAATATCCCACATACTTTAGTAAAATATATGTTCACCACCATACACTCGACCCAACTTGACTGCTTGGAGCCAGTGGACCCTAAACTGGTAAGTGCACAGCAGCATGCTATCAAAAATTCGAAAGTGGCATTTGGGAGGTGGGGTCTGAGCAGTTCCAAAGAGTAAACTGCATGAGCAGATGGCTCAGACTCCCATGGCACATGTTTGCATTAATCTGCTATCTCCACCTCAACCATGCCTGTGGCCTCGGTTGGAGGAGCATGCAGAGGGCTCCACATGATTATATAATTGAAGAGTAAAAACAAAAGGTGGGTTATCAATGGAGATGTAAAATATGGCAGGTGGAAACAGATGCCACCCTACGGTCCCAGTCAGAGGTGACCCTGAAAGACACAAGTGAAAGTAAGTCTTTCCATCGAACAGAAATTTGGTTGATATATCTGGTTATCCACCTGGCAAGGATAGTACCCAGAATCACACATCTAAATTGATGCATTGTCAGAGATCAATGGGTTACGTGGCTGGTCAGGAACTCAAAAAGAACAAAATTGGAAAATGAGTGAGGAGGACATTTGGGTGACAGGTATGTATAGGAATTATGCAGGTGATTCTATTCCCACTAATTTGAGACTTATTGATCTATTATTTTCCTGTTTTAGCCTCATCTAAGCATTGTTATCTGGGCCCTACTAGTCAGATATGTCCCCAAATAGCAAAATGTCTATTTTAATTTTTTTTTAATTTAAAATTTTTATTTTTATCTCTCCAGACACTTGTTTTATTTGTCTGATGTTTATTTTTTGTTTATTTTTTATTTTATTTTTTTTTTTGAGACAAAGTCTCACTTTGTTCCCCAGGCTTGAGTGAGTGCCGTGGCGTCAGCCTAGCTCACAGCAACCTCAAACTCCTGGGCTCAAGCGATCCTACTGCCTCAGCCTCCTGAGTAGCTGGGACTACAGGCATGCACCACCATGCCCGGCTAATTTTTTCTATATAAATTAGTTGGTCAATTAATTTCTTTGTATTTATAGTAGAGAGGGGATCTCACTCTTGCTCAGGCTGGTTTCAAACTCCTGACCTTCAGCAATCCACCCGCCTTGCCCTCCCAGAGTGCTAGGATTACAGGCGTGAGCTACTGAGCTGTTTTATTTTATTTTTTTCTCTTGCTGAATATAAAAGACAGGCAGACAGGACGTATGTCTATCTTGTTCATGATTATGTTCCTAATACACCCCACACAAGTGGCTGGTACACAGTAGGTGCACAGTAAATATTTATTGAAAAGAATAGAACAAACCAGCTACCTTTACCTTGAAATATATAAAATTTTGGCCAGAAACTAATAAGTCTATCCATTTTCATTTACCAGCATTTCCTGTGTGGTTTTAGACAGCTATTTTTGTATTTCCTTTTAGTTTTCTCTTGTACCTTGCACCTAAGAGAAATATCTGAGACTGAGATTAGTCTCCATTTTCTTTTTACTATTTTCTGGATAATCGCACATGAAAATATTTTAAGAGATGGAGAGTGAAGATGGGCATATGACACTGAATGTCCAGAATTGTTTCAAATCCAGCCAGAGATCTGAAGGTAAAAATATTGCTCCCCCAATTCAGACTGCAGCTTAAAACTGCATTATTCTCCTAGGAAGATAATTTAACGTATTAAAACTGACCATATTCTGGGATTTTTTTAAATAAATAGTTGTAAATTTTCTAAGATAGATTTTTTTTTTAGATTCATGTAGACACCAAGAATAAAAAGGTAGCATTTTCATAGCCAGAATCAGAGAAAAGTTGGTATCATATGTAATCCTTGGTGTTGTGATATCATAATTAGAATGTAACTTTCAAATAAAAATAGTGTTTTTTACAGAAATCATTCCTGCTGCAAAACAGGTTCATGGAAACACTTATGATATCTTTGAAAGTATGTGTAGTGAAAACACCTATTATATTAATAGCTGGAAGGTAAGATCTAGCAGTGGTGGTGAGAGGAACAGTGGTCCCGCAGTGATTTAGAAAGTACACGTATATAGATATGTAGTATATTTTTAATTTTCACAAAAGCCCTGTAAGGATTGGCAGAACAATTCATTGGGAATGACAGAAGGGCAAAAGAAAAGAAAACATTAATCATTGCTACTAGGATTACTGTGTCGGTTGTTTTATTGTTTGCTTTTTCAGGTCTGTTACAGACCCTATTTACAAGTTTAATAAATAACATTCTGGTGCCTGAATTCAGTTTGTCTAAAAGGAATTTTGAACCAGTGCACTACAGGTACTCAATTCTCTGTTTGCATGGTTTGATACAGTATGTAAACTGTGGCTTATATTTAAAAAATTGATTTTTAATTCATAGCTAAGATTTTTATAAATGTTATTTGGCAGTGAATTTAAAATCTCCCTCCCTGGAAAGTAGGGAAAGAGGACCTGTTCTACATTTCCAGTTAACTGCAGATCCAAATGCTTGTGATTGTTATCTCCTCATAAAATTGCAGAAGTATATTTTCAGGATTTTCAGCTAACTAGAGGTATTTTCACATTTGCTTGAGCAGAAGAAATACTCATAGGCAAGAAAAAATTTAGAAACTCATTTGGAAGTATTCTGTAATACAGACAGTTGGGTAGTAAATTTCAAAAGTTATACTACATTTAACAAATCCTGTAAGTGTATCCTACAGCTATAATAAGATACACTAAATCCACAAAATATACTGAAGTAAGGCAGCCACAGAGCACTCAGATTTGAGAAATGGCACTTTCTATTATGGCTTAGAAGGTAAATTATTTGTAAAATGCACTACCAAGGTGATATAATTAAGTGTTTGTGTTTATATATATAAACTAACAAAAACTAGGGAATAATTATCAGAGTATCAAATGACTCAACTCTTTCTTTGGCCACTTGTGTAGCCAGTTGTCTGGTCAGAATGATTGTAGATCAAGATAATATTCATATTATGTCTGCATGTCAAAGGGTATGTGTCTTCATTTTGTCTGCAAAAAGAGTGTATACATCCAACTTATTCAAAAGTGCTAATATGTGGAAGAAAGCAGATAAAGTTGAAAGAGGATCATAACATATGCATTCCTGTTTAACCTCTCTGGAGATTACCTGTTTATTCCTCTGTATGAAGACTTTTCTTATCAGTTCTAACCCAAGGGATACTATGGCATAGATTCTATAAAAGGATCATTAATTGGAAATCTATGTTGCCTAGGCTGACACTGATTCACCTGAAAAGTCAAAGTCAGGAAAAAATAATTTATTATATGTAAAAGGTGAAATAACATGTGAATATTACCAGTACAGTGATAGAACTTCAAAAATTTTTCCTTTCCCTCTTTTATTTCTTACAATAAGTAATTAAAATAAAGAATAAGCATAATAGTGCTTGCTATATATATGCCATATATATAATTTATATTATATTGTATATTTATAATATTAATAGGTTTATAATATATAAAATAAATTATTTATATATTAATGTTATAACATATTGATATTTTGTATAAATAATATATATTCCATATATTATATTTATTTGTATGTATGTATAATGGAATAGAATTTAAGACATCATTTTTTAAGTCATCAAAAACACCACAAAATAATTAACAGAGCAAGACAATGACAAAATAATGGCAATATGATCCAAAACATTAAATAATAGTAGCATCTCTTTGTTTTTGGATTGTAGATTTTTTAATATTCAAGTCTTCAATTAATCATAAATTATAATGGAATGTCTAAAATGAACATGAATCATTTCTGTAATAATAATAAAACAGGAAAATGTTTATAAAGTGAATAATCACAAGAGTTCTAAAATTCATGAAAAAAATTTTTAACATTTCATATTTCTCCCTGTATCAACAATATTATACTTTTATGCTTGTATTTGGATGCATTAGGATCATTATTTTTGTGATGAAAGTGATTGGCCTGAACTTTTGGGATGAGTAATGGAGTTTTATTTAGTTGTACACTTTCAGAAGGTAAGGTAATACTGAGGTAAGCTACACAGTCTAGCCCCAAATTGGTAAACTGACCACCCGTATACGTCACATTACAAACTTATATTAAATTTAAGACAAATTAAGAAATGCTCAAGTATAAAATTAGCATTTATTCTACATTTTTTCTTTCAAAGAATCTCCAAGAAATATTGACTTTATCATCTCATAATAAAAATTAATAATGTATTTTTTAAAAAATTATATGTGCTCATTGGTATCACTTTGAGAGATAAAGATTTAAATGTACGAAAGCATTAATTTTTAAAAAAGGACATCTTTGAAAACCATTTTAGGTAGACCACTAGACTTTTCATTTTCTTCCTGAAGTGGTATTTGTATGTGTATTCTGTAAAAACAACCAGACTAGTTTACAATTTCAGTAATTTTCTGTCTCACTCTTATGCCTGTGAGCTGTAATGGGCAGTGTCTTACATATAATACTGACATAAAACATAAACTCTTGAGGCCTTTGAGATGAGATTTCTCAACTTGGTGACCCCTAAAGCAACTTCTCTGAGACAAAGAAGTAAGGGATTTATTTTTGTATTGAGCAATTATATTTGTTTTTATGTTTTTCCTAATACAACAAAGGAATGTATCAGACTTCTCTCAGACCAAATACACATACTCTACTTAATGTAATTTTTCTGTAATTACCAATCTATCTCTTAAATGTCTTCAGTGCTTATACTGAAATCAATTACTAATAATATGAAAATTTCCCCCAATTTAGCTTTCAATATTAGATGACTAATTTTAGTTAGCATTGATTTCTGTTAACCAGCAATTCTAGGGAGTTGAACTCATTGTAATTAATTATAGATGTATAGAATTTATAAATTTATAGATTTATAAAATTTATAGATTTATAGAAATAATATAGAACTCATTGTAATTATTATAGATTTAAAAATGCTCCTAGAATTCAGGAGCAGTTTCTTGTTAGGCACTGAGTATGATCTTCACAGGCTACCATGATCTCTTGTGAATCAGTTTTCTCTTCTGTAAAATATAAATGGTAAAATGACATTATTGATACAATAATCATTCTTTTAGAGACAAATGCTACTGAGGAGAAGTGAATAAAATTTGACATATTGGTAAATTATTTGTAGGAAAATTGTTTTTTTCCTAGTGATATGTTTTATTCTAATAAATTAGTGACAATTTGAATGAACTTGAAGGAGGAGGGAGATAGCCATGTGGATATATGGGGGAATGTCATCCTGGCAGAATTGTGTGAAGATCCTAAGACCAGTGTATGCCTGGCACATTCCAGAAAGAGTGAGGAAGGCCGTTGTGTCTGGAGGAAGAGAGTAGTGGGAGATGAGGTCAGATAAATCACAACAGGCTATTTTTGATTTTGGCATCCTAATGTCTCTGGCTAATCTAAGTGAAATGGGAAGATGGACAATTATTTTGAGCAGAATAATAGCGTGATCTGACATACATTTAAAAGATTCACTCTGAGTAGTGTCATCAAGGTAAAGTGGAATGGGATGAAATATACTCACCTAGCCTGAAAAAGTATGCTTTTTAATATGTTTAAATTCCTGCCTGTCATGATCATATAGTTCACCCACTACCCTTTCTTTGTTTCATTCTCTTTCCTTCTTTATTTGTCAAATTTTCATTATTGAGCATGCTGGCTCTTTTTAATATTATTTCCATCTCAGCACAGCTTGATGGCAATTTCATCATTATCTGATGCAATCTGGCCCCCTTCCAATATGATAGTCACCACCCCAGCCATGACCTTGAAAATGCCACATCCTCCTTTTGATGATGATGGTCATCTTTTGTAGCACAATAATCTGAAACATTTAGAAAATGTTTGGCTCTTGCACAACATGTAAATTAATAATAATTTAACAAAGCCTATATTTAGCCTGCTAACACAATTTATACAGTAATAAATTCCAGTCCCTGTAAAGAATGAAAAGTTGTTGACAAAATTTGCTTCTTGTGATGCTAAACATATAACATCTACTTTTTTTCTATACTTTCCCCCATACTGATTAAATGTCTGCAATGTGCATGAGGTATCACTAAGTTTCAAATGTGGTTACCATTTACTACCATTGCAGGTAAATAATCTAAGCTTTCATTTGCTCATTTATTTAAGAAAAATTGATATAAAATATTTACCATTAAGGGGTGAAAATACTTTGAATAATTCATGGTATAAATTAATACTCAAAAGAGAATACTCATTATATTAGGAAATGTAAAAATGAATAAAATAAAGCTAAAGTGAAATATTAAAAGGTGCAGATATTTTTAATGATAGCTGGATATCACCTCTTGCCTTCTGTTTGTCCAAGACCTGTTTAAGTACTACCCAGAATCTAACTCCCCTAGCATTGTGGGAATCCAGAGCAATCTCCATGATTTCCTCAAGTCTCCAAGACTCCTTTCTTCTTGGTCCTCTCTCTCTCTAAATACGTATGCTCTGCTCACCATGACTCATGTCACAAACCTGATTCCTTCACTATTATTGGCGACAACAGTAACGACAAATCTAGTTAATATAAGTAATTCTTTAGTTCAATAACTTGACTAAGCACCTAGGGAATCACAGAAAGTTGTACGTGGCTCAGTATGAACTTTATTTCCAGGGAATTTGGGCTCTGGTGAGGGACCAAGATGAGGGACCCTAATCAATTTCCTAATATTTCTTCCATGGACCTTCTTTACAAATTCCAAACAAGTTACATACCACTTAAGGCTGAGTAAAACACTCTTGATCCTCACCAAATGCTGTACCTATTCCATCTCTTTTAAGCAGACTTAACTGAATTTAGGCCAAGTAGAGGCACCTTTCACTCCCTTACTGTTACCTTCCAATCTGTTCCACTGAGGCACTGCTGATGAATCAGTTCTGACCAAGGCCACTATTATGCCCATAGGCTGAGATGTACTGACTTACGTGGTCTAGCAACACCATGTAAAAACTCAGTTTAATTTCTAGGCTTCTTGATAATTATTTAGATGAAGATGAAAGTCATTTATATTCTCATCAATCAACTGAAAACAAAACATATGGTTCATGGGAAGGACAGTGTATCTCTATGAGTTCATAATGCATAGAAACGATGATTTGTTTTAATTATTTTATTTCCTGTATGGGAGAACTCTAAGGACAGTAGCTTTTTCTGCTGCAAATGTACTTTCTTGTATGATTATAATTAGCACTATTTATGCCTGTCTTAAATATGAAGGCACAATCGCCACCTTCTTCAGTATTGAATCTGGAACAAAACAAAGAGATGAATTCTTTATTTACTGGACCTCCATAAAAATAACTGAGTAAAGCTTCAGATACAAAATATAAACTCTGGCAACCATGTCTCTAAATGTGCAATGCGTCAGCAGTGGAGAAGGCAAAATATGCTGTTTCTCTTTTATCTGTCTCCAGACTTTACCCTGGGACTCTGATAGTGGGAAGAAAAGGACACTGTGGGACTTCACTGCCTAACAACCGAGCCCTGGAACTCTATGTCGGTGATAATGTAGTAAACATTGTAAATCATTTTGTGAGGGGTTGGATTCTTCCCTTTATACTTTAGAATAAAAATTGATAAATCTATTTAGACATTTAGAGATTACATAGACGGGGAGTGTAACTGACATTTCATTGAACTCCTTTCATGTGTTACAAAATTAGTCTATTTTAATGCTGAAATAGATGTTCAGTTGGCCACACTTTGCTACCATCACAATAGTAAAATAGGTGTCTTTTACCTGATAGATTATGATACCTACAAGTAATCATAAATAAAATATCTAGAAAGGATTTCCTAAATTTATATTTTAGGTCATGTATAAACATATGACATTCAAAAATCCAAAATGAGGGAAAAATATTAAATAGAATGATGAGTCATGATACATTTTTTTGTTATTTCATAATTAAAATTATTCCAGACTTCCCTTTTTGGGAACTTCCCATATTGGTATATATTTTCCTTACTTCTAGGGTACCTTCAAATTTTTATCCTGCCTACTCCCAAAATATATGTGCATTTCCATTCTATCCATTCTCTAGTACCAATAGAGAACTCATCAACGATTAGGAGCTGAATTATGTCCCCCCAAATTTCATATATTAAATACCTAATCCCCTAGTACCTGAGAATATAACCATATTTGGAGATCAGTTTTTGAAGAGGTGATTAAGTTATTGTAAGGTCTTTTGTGGGGGCCCTAATCCAATATAACTGGTGTTCTTACAAGAAGAAATAATTTAGATGCAGACTTGAGCATGCAAAAAGGGAAGACCATGTGAAGACAGATTGAAAAGACAGCCCTCTGAGAAGCAAAGAGAAAGGCCTCCAAAAAAATCAACCCTGCCAACACCTTGGTTCAAAAGTTAGATCTTCGTTCCCTTGCTCGTTTTTCTAATGCTTTATTTACTGGGTTGCAAAAACTGGAACACACAGGAAATAAATAGAAAAAGAGATAAACATGATGGTTGTTTGCTTGTTGTTTGTTTTTCTCTGGAAGATAAACAATGATATGTTCCCTTAGGTATAGTAACAAAAAAATAATGATAGTCTCCTCGAGTTTGATATGTGGAGGCATTGCATTTCTTCTTTGGGGGTTTTTAGAATTTTCTGAAAAAAAGTAAGTGACAATTTCTAATCTGATATCCAAACTAGCATTTCTTTCCCTAAAATTGAACAGTTGGAGTCAGAAAGTATTCTCCAGTCCAAAGCATCGAATTGCTATTCAAACTTAGCTGTTTTATCTTCTAGAATGATCAGTCTTTCAGTAAATATTTCTTGAGCTTCAGGCATAGGGCTAGGTGCTGATGATACAAAAATGAAAAATGGCATTTCTTGCCTGAAAGGAATTTACCTTTAACTGAAGAAACAAGCATGTAAGCAAATGGTTGCAACACAGTGAAATGATTGCTAAATAGATGCTCAATTTGAAGCAGAAGAGAAGTTGATTATAAAGCAGGCTCTGGTGGTCAAGTAAGATTTTACAGAGGAAGTATTTGTGCTGAATCTTAAGGCCAGGCAGGCATTTATCAAAGAATGCCTTAGAAAGAACTTCCTTGTTGGAGAATCATATCAAGTGTTATTATGGTGGAGTTAAAAAGAAGTAGGACGGAGAATGGCAATTGCATTACATTTCTCTAGTGCATTAGCACTTTCACTCCTATAGATTACTATTCTACACCTTCTCCTTTTTTTCTTTTTTTTAATTTTTTAACTTTTTAAACATATTTTTCTTTTGCCCCTCACCTGCTCACTCCCTATACCTCCTTTATCTCCAAACTTTTATCACCCTTTTCCTCATCCTCACCCTCAAGTCTATATCCTTGCTTCAAACTTATTCTAATTTTAACATTTAGTAGAAAACTTCCAACTATTTCTATCACCACACCTACTTACTTACCTCCGTTTCTACCTGTCCACGCTGTTTGCCCTCCTGGTACAGCAGATGGAGTGTTAATGCTCTGCACTAGATCCTGTATCCTCTCATTTGATCAGTCATGTCACTCTAGTAATTCTCTTCTCTCCTACATCATTTTTTTCATGTTCAGCTGAAATACAACTGAGTAATACAACTGAACAGTAATACAACTGAAATACAACTCAGTAATACAACGTGGTAGTGTCCATACCCCCAACCTTCAAAAACAAACAAACAAACAGAAAACTCACTGGACTTCTCTTATCCTTTAGCTCCTATTTTTTTCCTCCTTGGTAGAGAAACTTCCTTCGAAAATTGTCTTTGATGGTTTTTTTCTAATTATGTTCTTCCCATTTTCTATTAAATCTAAGCTAAACAAGCTTCCCCTTCTGCTTTTTCCAATGAAACTTGTCTTTCGAGTTCACCAGTAACTTCCATAGTGTTAAATCTAGTGGCCCCTTCTCAGTCTTCACCTTACTGAAGCTATATGCGGCCATTGACAGACACACCCTCTTCCTGAAAAAAATGTCTTCGCTTGGCTTACAAGCTACCATATTCTCATGGCTTGCCTCTCCCCTAACACAGCTCCTTCTATGTTTCCTTTTCTCATTCCTTCTTTTCTCCCTGTGTTAACTCACTGCAGATACCTGGTGACCACCGACAGACTTAAGGAGTGACACGGTTGGTTGTTAGTCACAATGCGTATATGTTGTGTATGCAGTGATTTGTGAGCTGGAAAACAAGCATTCAAGTTTGTACTTTTTACAATTTCTTATAGTAAATATACTATAAACAGAGATAGTATACTGTAACACTGAAATATGAACCATGTTGACAGGGTGACGTTATTTTAATAAACTTGGAAAATGAAGATTATGAATATTGGAACCATGCATACATATAAACAAACATATATGTATATACCTTATTCTACACATATATGATATTCTATACTTAGCCCTTTGATAGATTCCTGTGACTTTGGCAATTAGCACAAATTTCACAATCCTTGGTGTTCTACCTTGAAGCTACATCATGCCAATTTCTGCCTCCATCATATTCAGCAGAGGAAAACAGTTGCTAAAATTCTTTTTATTTTTTTTGATGGGTTTTTGTTTGTTTAATACATCTGAAAAGAATGCATACACAAAGAATTGAGAGATAAGAAAATTGGTTCAACACTAACGAATGCACAAGAATTAGGATTTTGGGAAGGTAGAAAAGATTATGTACACATTTTTAAAAGTTGGAAACTGCAACCAAAGTAAGATGATAAAATCTCTAGTAACACTTTGAAGAGTCTTCATAAGACTCTTTCTGTGATTTTATTAAACTAGAGAGCCTCATCTGGCTGTTCCAGGGTTCCTTATCTGCAAAACAGAAATAAGGGGAGTCCCCAACTTGTCCCCATACAGTTAAGTGTTCTCCCAACCCCCATCCCACCCCACCCCTGGCTTCTTCGGGAAGCGGGCCTCCACCCTCACAACCTGAGAGGATGTGAATCATTCCACAGACATCTGTCTTCTAGCACCATCCCTCACATCTCTTCTACATACCAGGTCTTCAGCTGCGTTCTAGAAACACCTTATGATATACTATTGAGTTGCAAATCCATGCTAAGCATATAAGACAATGAGTAACAGGGAAAAAATTTAATTATGAACTCAATCCATTTGGTGTATTTTAAAGGTGCAATACTTTTCTTCATTTGTCAGTGAATGAAGTTAGAAATGAACTTCCAAAAATATGAGAAAATGGCGAGCAAATTTCCCTGAAAGTCACAGTCACATGTACAGTGCATCCTAGAAAAGAGGAGACACGAGGCAGTTTCTACCCACTTTCATGAGTGTCATCAAATACTGGATCTACTCAAGGGTGGAGAGAAAAGGCAACTTCCCAAAAGGAGCATGTTATAAAATGAGGAATTTACTATACTCCTTCCTGAGAGCACTAGATCAGGAGCATGTTTTCTAAACTAGTTCTAGGAAGTGGAATGTGGAATTAATCCATTCTCCTCCCCTTAAGGGCTGTCCACTGGTTAATAAATTTAAAAAACAAGACTAAAAAACAACCCCCATACACACTCTCCCCAAAAGCAGAGGAAAAAAACACTAAAATATCCCAGATTACTCTCCAGAGTGGGACCAGAGAGCAGTTCAACAATTCAAATTAGTCTGTTACGAGACAACGCAGGCATGCCTTGCTTTAAAAAAAAAAAAAAACAACTTGGAAACTATAAAACAAAAACTAGTACTTGTCACTTTTCTGACAATACACAATTATTCAAAATTAACCATTAATAGTATTGGGAGGGGAAAAGGGGGCCATACCTATGGGCTTCATCTCACACGAGTACAGGTGCAGGACATTTGTCATATTGCAAAAACAAATTTTAATCTTTAATCTTTAGTTTGATTTAAACCTTGCTTTGAGTATGAAGCCAACACCTGCTGTGCAGGAAAGGCTGTGGAGAGATGCTCCTAGCAGTGCACACCTGCGGCTCTTCCTTGCTTCTGGAGGCTCCAGGGCAGTCAACACTGCTGCGTCAAACACATTCTTCAGGCCCCTTCCTGTCTGGGTGCAGAACACGCCACATACTTGACAGCCTGCAAGTCACGGGCCAGCTTTTCAGCGGTCTTTGTAGTGATAGGCTTCTGTTTTTCCTTGGCAAGTTTCTCAATAGTAGAGGGGTCATCTCTGAGATCACTTTGGGTCCTGGTAAGCAAGAAAGGAGTCTTTGGATAGTGGTGAGTTATCTCAGGCACCCACTTTTCTTTCACATTTTCAAATGAGGACGAAGAGACCACTGTAAAGCAGACTAGAAATACATCTCAGCAGTTGTGATCCACCATAAGCTGCTTGCCCCACAGTATCAAAAAGTGCAAGAGTATATAGCTCGCCACCAAGCATCACTGTGATGGGATGATCATCAAAAATAGAACATATTAGGGTAGAAATTTGTTTGTTGCGTAGGATATCAGCAGACATGTTTTACCAATAGCACCATCGCCCACAACAACCGCACTTAGTTGTCTGCATTGCCAAGATTGTTTTAGATCCACTTTAAATATTTCAAATCTGATGGTGACCTCAGCATCTCCACTGGGGCACTGTGCAGGGTCTCCTCGGATGCCGGATAGTGGCACTCAGTTGCTAGAATTCAACCAGAATATTTCCTCCATTTTTTATTCACCTTGCTTGGTTCATGTAAGATGACAACCTTTTTTTTTTCCCCCAGAGGCAGGGTCTTACTCTGTTGCCCCATCTAGAGTGCAATGATGTCATCTTGGCTCATTGCAACCTCAAACTCCTGGGCTCAAGTGATCTTCCTGCCTCAGCTTACCGAGTAGCTGGGACTGCAGGTGCACACCACCATGCCTGGCTAATTTCTCTGTTTTTTTGTAGAGACAGGGTCTCAATCTTGCTCAGACTGGGCTTGAACTCCTGACTTCAAGCAATTCTCCTGTCTCTGCCTTCCAGAGTGCTAGGATTACAGACATGAGCCTCCATGGCCAGCTTAAAGTGATAACTTTTAAGAGGACTAGAAATACTATGATTTGCTTAAATTATACGCAATTAAATTAGTATGGATAAGGTCAACCTTTCTCTCATAGAAGGGAGTATATACTACACTCACTAAAAGAAAAGAAACAAAAAGAAACCTAATTATTCTCTTCCACCTTTCCCACAACACTCTCAATACTTCACTTCTGGCACCAGATGGGGGAGGGGGAGATGTTCTCCACAAATCAAGAAACTCTCTACAGCACATGAACTGGATGTCCTCTAATTCAATACCATTCAGACAAAATATTTACCTGGAGTTAGAGTCAGATCCCACAGATTAAGGGCTCAGTCCTCCAAGGCTGTCTCCTGCTCAGATGCCAGTCACAAGTCTGGGCTTCTGGAACTTCTGGCTGACAAGCTGTAAGTTGGGGGGTCCCATGACCCCCTCCTCACACCTGATTAAATTGATAGAATGGCTCAGAGAACTCAGGGAAACAATGTTTACCAGTTTATTACATTAATATATATATATATTAC